ATCTGTACCATGGGATTGTTAGGAGGACTCAGTGAGTTAAAAATGTGACATTTTCTGCCAAAACCAGTTTGGCTCAGTGGATAGAGCATCAGCCTGCGGACTGAAGGGTCCTGGGTTCGATTCCGGTCAAGGGCATGTACCTGGGTTGCGGGCACATCGGTGGGGGATGTGCAGGAGGCAGCTGATCGATGTTTCTGACTCTCTATCTCTCTCCCTTCCTCTCTGTAAAAAATCAATAAAAATATATTTTTTAAAAAGTGACATTTTCTTAGAACATTTTCTTAGCCCCAGCATGCATTTCTAGAGTTTCATGCATGTTATTCTCAGACACACACAGGCAGCTGAAGCAGCGAGCCTCTGAGAAGCTCCCCAGACTGGAGTCATTGAAAGTCTATGCACTGACCTTCTTTCCTTCCTCTTTCCTCTTTCTCCCTCCAACGTTTGCTGAAGGCCCCTAGATTGGCTTGACACCTGCTAGGAAAGGCCAGCACCCCTGCCTGCTTGGGGAAGGACACTTCTGCAAACTCGGAGATGCGCGTTGGGGGAAGGAAGTGTCTGACTTTGAGATGCTGAGGTCTGGGCTCAGAGTGGAGATGGAAGGGAGGATGGGTGGGCAGCAGAGCGGGGTTAGGGTTGGGGGTGGGGGCACTGGGCCATGCTCTGCCAGCCGTGCTCCTGCTGACACCTAGTGGCAAGACAGAGTTATCATCGTTTTCATCCAGGCTACCTCTCTGAGTGCAGCCTTCACCAGAATATCTGACTGCATGAGCCACCACCCTATGTCCATCTTTGGGCTCTCGTGAGTCATGCTGCTGTGAATTCTGTGGGAAAGTTTTTGTGGGGATGTATGCCTTCTATTTTCTTGGGTAGATAGGAGTGGACTTTCTGGGTCAGATGTCATTCCACATGTAACCTTTTGAGGAATCGCAGACTGTTTTGTTTTGATATTTTGTTTTGTTTTGTTTTTTTGGTTAATCCTCACCCGAGGATATTTTCCCATTGATTTTTAGGGAGAGTGGAAAAGAGAGGGAGAGACAGAGAGAAACATCGATGTGAGAGACACATTGACTGGTTGCCTCCTGCATGAGCCCTGACCAGGGCCGGGGCTGGGGAGGGGCTCGCAACCAAGGTACGTGCCCTTGACTCGTCAAAACTTATTGCCTGTCTTCTTTCTTTTTTTTTTTTAATGTTTTTATTGATTTCAAAGAGGAAGGGAGAGAGAGATAGAAGCATCAATGATGAGAGAATCCTTGATTGGCTGCCTTCTGCATAACCTCCACTGGGGACCGAGCCTGCAACCTGGGCATGGCACTGTAACTTCATGATCCATAGGTTGATGCTCAACCTCTGAGCCACCATGGGCCTGGCTTGTCTGTTTTTTGTTTTGTTAATCCTCACCCGTTTCCATTGATTTTTAGGGAGAGTGGAAGAGAGAGGGAAAGTCAGAGAGAAATATCAATGTGAGAGAAACACATAGATTGGTTGCCTCCTGCAACCAATTGGTTGCCCCAACCAGGGCCTGGGCCGGGGAGGAGCCTGCAACCAAGGTACGTGCCCTTGACCGGAATCGAACCTGGGACCCTTTGGTCCGATGGCCGACACTCTACCCACTGAGCCCAACCAGCCAGGGCTAGGGCTGTCTTCTCGATTCCAGTTATCCCGGTGGGTGTGAAGTGGTAAATCTGGTCAATATTAGGTTCTAAATACGGTAACCCTCAGAACAGTCCCCTCATCACCAGTCCCAGCCTGAAACTGCTGCCCTTCCCGCCCCCTCTACACTCCACTCCCAAGTTCACAAAGTAGATGGTTAGTAAATACTTGTTCAATGAACAAATGGATAGATGGGTGGATGGACAGATGGAATATTATTTTAGCTGTCATAAATAATGTTTCAGAAGGATGTTTAAGGAGGAGGGAAGTTGTGGTCGGCAGAATAATGCCACTTCCCCAAATCCACATACTAATCTCCAGAACCTGTGACTGTGCCTCCTTATATGGAAAAAAAGACCTTTGCAGATGGGATTAGGTTTAGGATCTGGAGATGGGGAAAATTATTTTACATTGTCTGGGTGGACCTCATGTAATCACAGGGGTCCTTCTAGAGCAGTGGTTCTCAACCTTCCTAATGCCGCGACCCTTTAATACAGTTCCTCATGTTGTGGTGACCCCCAACCATAAAATTATTTCCCTTGCTACTTCATAGCTGTAATTTTGCTACTGTTATGAATCGTAATGCAAATATCTGATATGCAGGATGTATTTTCATTGTTACAAATTGAACATAATTAAAGCATAGTGACTACTCACAAAAACAATATGTAATTATATATGTGTTTTCCAGTGGTCTTAGGTGACCCCTGTGAAAGGGTCGTTCGACCCCCAAAGGGGTCGCAACCCACAGGTTGAGAACCGCTTTTCTAGAGGAAGGCAAGAGAGTCAAAATCAAAGAATGAGATGTGACAATAAGACCAGACATTGGGAAGGTGCAGGACCATGAACAAGGAATGCAGTGGCCTCTCGAAGCCAGAAAAGGTGGGACCAGACTCTCCCCGGGAGCCTCCAGGAGGAGCCAGCCCTGCCCACACCTGGTTTGTAACCTCAAAGACCAATATTTGGATTTCCAACCTCTAGAACTGTAAAATAACTAACTTGTGTTGTTTCCAGCCAGTGTTCCTGGTAAATTGCCACAGCAGCAGTAGGAAATGAATACAGAAGTATTAGCATATATTCCTCTGTGACTGCCCTGCTGGGTCGTATTGGGCTCTGAGACAAAAGGGGAAATGTGTGCCTCTCAATATATGTTTTATGTAATTTTTAATTCGCTCCCAGAAGTAGATTTTGAACATGTTATAAAGTGCTAGCTTCCATTAAACACAGGAAAGTAAAATTATAATAAGTTCTTAACATGGTGCATTTCAATATACCTACTTTTAAGTTTCAATATATTTTTAATAATGTTCTGGGGAGAAATAGCCATTAAAATACATAAAAAGAGGTATAAGAGCCACACATTTTTGCACTGATTTCAGGCTCCAATATATGGCTTGGCAAGGCATTGCCAACACCTGCCTTGATGAAAACTTGATATTTTATTCATTACGGGGTTATTTTGCCATTCATTTGATATTTTATAATAGTGCATTGAAATATTTATCTCAATTGAGTTTTTTGGAGCCCCCTTAATTTTTGCACCTGAGGCCAGTGTCTTACTCTCCTCACCCTAGTTCTGGCCCTGCGGGGGGGAAGGGGGGGCGGAAAGATTTTACAGACAGTTTCATCTTAAATTCTTGCCATAACCTCCCCCCTCCCCTCTACTATCTTAAAAAAGAAAATGCAAACAAGTTAGCTCTGGGTTATGAGATGAAAAGTCACTTTAATTAACTTTTTTTTTTCCTTCAAAATTTCCTGAAGGTAGTGTGTAGACAATAAAAGTCCTTTACAGAAAGTTCTTGTAGAAAGTGGTTTGGGCTGAAGCAACATTGTAACTGTCTGTGAACACTTAGGTGATATTTTCAATAAAGATTCTATGAGACGAACATTGGTTTCAGCATAGGTTTATGAGCAATTTTTGTCTTTGATTGTTTTAATGGGACGTGTGTTGACGATAAACTAATAAAGATGTGTTTATTGGATGTTTTCCTCCTCCCAGCTCCCATTGCATCAGGCAAGAATGATGAGCATTTAGGAAAAGCGGAAACCATCTCCGAGGACCGCAGCCAAGTGATAACAGTATTCATTTCAGAAACTATAATGTAACAATTTTTCGTAACATTGGCTCTGAATAATAATCATAAAAGGTCTGGCCCCCGGTGGTTTCCGTATTGTAACTGTTACCACGTTCGCCTCACACGCGAAAGGTCTCCTCCCAGGCGGAAACACGCTACTTTTGTTTCTTTATTACAGAATTTTAAAATTTACTTCAAAGTAACTTCATGGAAAGTCTGGTTCAGTGGTTTTTTTTTTTCTTCTGTGTCCCTGTCTTTTTAGAAATGACAGTAGGATTCTAAAAGTTATTTCAAAGTCATTGAAATTCTAGCTCGATTATTTTACCAAAAAACTTTAGATGGAGAGGAAAGGGAAGAAGAAAAAGCTGATGAACGGGTTTGCGTTGGCCGGGAATCGAACCCGGGTCAACTGCTTGGAAGGCAGCTATGCTAACCACTATACCACCAACGCCCCGGCGGACCAGCCTTCTCCCAGGGTCTTTAATGGAAAACACATCGGATTGGCTGGGCGATGCCAAAGAATGGGATGCCTCTCCCACGCGTCCCTCCGCGCCTCGGAGGACACCGCCCTCGGATGTTCCACGCCGCACGTCCCCCCAGCGCCGCGGAAGCCTG